GGACAATTATTTTAAGACATTTTTATGTTTATACATTCTTTTTATAGATACAAATATTTAAGTAAATTTACTTAAATATTTGTATCTATAAAAAGAATGTATAAACATAAAAATGTCTTTAAATATATATATATATATATAAATATATACTGAATTTCAAGTGTGTTTATATTTTTACTGTTTGTATTTTTTGTGTCCTTCCATAGCTTCTTCAAAAATAATCATCCTTTTTTTGAAATCAATTGCATTTCTTTTTATTAAAAATTAATTTGAAAATATGATTAATAAAAAAACTTGATTTAAAACTTACTATGTGTCTATATTTTACTAGGAATTTAAAAACTAAAAAGTTGTTCCATATATAGATTATTCAATTCAACAGCTGTACCAAAAATAAACTTTTGTCAGCGTTGTCATTATGTTTGCCTGTATGTGTGATAGTTATGCTTGACCAACATCATGGAAATGTCAGTCATCAGTCTCAATGATCTTATGGCTTAATTGTAGCCCCCCACCTCATTCTTTTTATTTCCCAACTTTCTTTTGACTTATGACTTTTCTCGTTATTGATTTGGTTTATTGTTACATGTAAGTTTATATTTAATGATCATAGTATATCAGAAATTTTGTCAGTTGCTGTATTACATAATTTGTGCCTTTTCAATATTCTGATCAGCTTTCCTCTTTGGTAGTTGGTTTTTCTAAATTTAAGTGCAGTACTATATTGGCAGCTAGGTCTCATCATTTTACAGTTGAAATGTCTAGATGCAACTGTAAGTTCTATGCTATCAGTTTCTTCTATTGCAGTTCTTGCTTCTGGCTTCTTGCTTCCCAGTCAACTTTGATCTTCAAAAATTTAAATGTAATGTTATGGTAATCTGCCTATTACTTACTTAAGTAAGTCCAGCTGCAGATTATTTCTGGATTTTCTAAGATGACTACTAAATATGGCTTTTGTTGTCTTCCCTAGTCCCATGTTCCGATTCCACCTCACCGTTCAGAATACAACAAATTTTTCTCTTGGTATGCCAAATTCTAAATACAAGGTTGTGATAATGTGCCTATTGCTTACTTAAGTAAGTCCAGCTGCAGATTACTACTGTATATTCTTCAACAACCGCTAAATATGGCTTTTGCCATCTTTCCTAGTCCCACGTTCTGTTCTCACATTTATACAGATGCAGGTGAGTCCACCTCGTTGCTCAGGGTATAATAAAAATGTCAATCATTATCTTCTGACTTCTTAATTTTTCTTTTATTGTTCTCTCTCCTTAATAGTGTTTTTTTCCTCATTCTCTAACATTCAATAATTGCTTGTGTCTTAGTGGCTTTATTGCCTTGCTTGCATATGTTGGTACATATTGTCATAAGGTTATCATGTATCTTAAGGTATACTTTTTTCATCAAGATATTCATGTTTCAACTGACATTTTATCCCCACCTTCCCAATATTGAACTCTCTTCTTCCATCAGCAAATATATCAGATAATAAGATAATTATGGAGTCTGATATCTTTTGTCATATGGTAATGTCGAAAAAATACTAGATATTTTTTTAACTTTGAGAATGATAAGTCCTCTTTCCCCTTTTCTATAAACAGATTCTTATAATGTTTATTAAAGAGATTAAATTTCTGTCTTGCTAAAGAAAAACCAGTTTATGGCTGATATAATTTTTTTATTTCTTTGGGTTTGTCTATCATTTCAAGAGATACACAAAAGTTCAGAAAAGATGTTAGAATTTGATGATCCAGAATTTGCTTTGTGTAAATATCTAACAAAGTGCAATTCCATTGTTAAAAGGCTTCACTTGTTCTCTCAGTAAATATATTTTGTTAAGAAATTGTTTGAACAAAGAATACAGTCAAAAGTAATCTGTTTGCAAGTAGAAAAGAATACAAAAAATTAAATTTTTTGTCTTCACTTTGAAATCCATCCATTTTTATTTGCCTGAAAATTTCAGTTGGGATTTGCGAATTAGGTTTGTGTTTTATCAACTGTAAAGAATATTTATGTTACTTGAATCCATTTTATAATGATTTATCATGTGTGAAAATTCCTGGAGGAGTCCCCTAAAATGTTTCTAAATAAATAAAATGCTTTCTCTAAAATATCTGGCCATATTGAGGAATTTGCTACTTCTCTCTTTCTCTCTCTCTCTTTCAAATGTCAGTTAAGATTTAAAGAAAAAAACATTCTTTCTTGGTTCAAAAGATGAGTTGATTGCATTTGGTTCAAGAGAAGGATTTTTTTTTAATTACTGGAACCTGTGCAAAGTCAGCAATTGCAAAAGATTAATATATTTTATATATTTAAAAATTCTGATTATTTCTTATATTATTATACAGGAAATAATTAGAATTCTTAAATTATATTTTGATGATTGAAATCTGTCAAGTGCATCAGTAAAAGTAACAGTTTTTTGCTTGGACAAGTAACATCGGGAAAGTAATTTGTTCAAATTCTCATGCATTCATTTTTCCATCATGACATTAATTAGTTCCATAAAATATCTCTCTCTCTCTCTCTCTCTCTCTATATATATATATATATATATATATATATATATATATATATATATCAAACAGAGGATGTCTGTCTGTCTTTGTGATACCTTTTCACTAGAGATCCATCCAACTGATTTTGACCAAACTTGGCACATATATTGTACAATGTAAGAGATAGTTTCTTAGTATGAAAAATTGATAATTTTTAAAAAATCAATAATCGATAAAGCCAATCAAAAATCAATAAATTCAACTTTTTTCTTCCAATTTCATTCAAACTCAGTATGTAGGTTGCATCCTGATGAGTTTAACAATACCTCATTTTTATTTCTATACCACAGGGTTTAGCGAAAAATTTCAAAAACAAAAAATCTAATTCAGCACAATTTTAAACTAAAAACTCCCTCAATTTTCAAGCAGTCTAATCTAATACAAACTTCACTCAATTGTAGCCAACAATAAGTTGATTGTTTAACAGTCATTTAACTTGATTATTGAGTCCACCCATACCTGTGTAAATAGCAAAAAAATGGCGATTTTTACTGGTTTCTTTCTTATTTTTCATTGATCTTTCAACCATTTTTCATCAAATTTAACAATTGCTTTATAAATGTATACTGGTAGCACACTGACAAATTGAATTTCGAAAACTCCAAATTAGTTTTGCTTTGAAGTGGGTCTTCATATTGCCTGTTTTATCCCTTCATGTACTCGGCTAACTTCTATTGAATAAATACAGACTACTTCTGTTATATCAGCAACTGCATTAATTCAAACTGTTTTTTAATGAAAATATTTGAAAGTAATTGAACAAGATGGACTCTGTTACATCTAAACATGATGCTGTTTTTGCGCCATTCTAATTGAACGCTTTTTCTGATCGACCAGCTGGGTAGGGCTGCTAGTACATAATAAACTGGTTATTTTATTGCAAAATTCTGTCATGACTAAATCTATTTTTATATATCAAGTGTCTTAAAATATACATTTTTATGATTCCCTAATGATGAGTCACAATTTGATAGGCCTCTGCATATTTTTTTTAATTAACTTTTTTCAAAGCAACTTTTGCCATCAGGAAATTTTTATTAATTAATTTTTTTTTTCTTCCTACTTCCTAATAGTTTTAAATTATCTAAACTCTGAGATCAAGTATGGAGTATTAATTTTCAGTTAATCTTTCATTTGCTTATTGATTTTTAATTAAAACAATATGTGGTATGAAGATTTGGAATAGCCAAGTGACAACATGACTGCCATTATTTAGTTATTATTTTGGGGGGTAAATTGTTTCAGGCATCATCCATCAAAGACTAGCTCCTGGAATATGGGATGCGAGTTGAAATCTTCACAATCTACCTTATCTATTCTCACTTCGCAATATTTTAACAATTGAATTATCTTCAATTGAGAATTGCACGATAAAAATCAATAGTTAAATGATCAATGGCCTCAGAAATGACTAGTAAAAAATATTTCAAGTCTTAGAATTGAATTTGCTGGCGGTTCTTCTTGATGCAAATTTTAATAAATTTTGTCACTAAACAGCATTGGGGATGCATTTTCATTGGTAGATAGAGAGTGGTAGGTGTGGCTGTATCTATGAGTGACAAGCTGGAGATATGCCATGTTCTCAGTATTCAATACATCAATGAACCAGTATCTGTCTATATTTCTGAGATGAGGTATTATGTACACTATTTACATTATTTGGACTATTGTCCTCATCTTTGTCGCCATATTTATTACAACATTTCAGCTGTTGTACACTCCGGCCTTCTTCAGGTGGATAAAGGCGTTGGTTAGATCCAGTGACAGGACTCAAAGAGTGTAAGGCAGTGGAGAACTTGGAGACGGGAATTAACAGGAGGTAACTGATAACTGACATCCATTAAAACATGGCATGTGGAACTAGAACAGTCTACTCCAGTGAGCGAAATAAAAGGTTCAGTTCGACATTCCAATCATCTGAAGAAGGCCGGAGCGTACAACGGCTGAAATGTTATAATAAATATGGTGACAAAGATGAGGACAATAGTCCGAATAATGTAAATAGTGTATCAAGGAACCATTTTTTTCTTTTTTGACTTACTATCAAAGCTCTCAATCCTGGTGGTCAGAGTTCTCTTAAAAGGTCACACTCCCAACAGAATGTTTCATTGGCATCCAGAGATTCATTTTGCCTGAGGTAGTACTCTGTTGCTGCCACAGAGGTCTTCAGAATGTTTCCAGTTCCACAAATGCCTGCAGGTAGTGTGTGTGGTTTTTGGCATAAAGATTGTCTTGAAGAATGTCAGAAATCTCTTGATCATTAAATATGAAGGCGTTGATCAAGACTAGTTATTCGTAATTATTTGAATTTAGCCTTTTAATTAAATTTTCTTGAAGATTTAATATGAATCAATAATATAAATCTTTTAATTTTGTGTTAATTAATAAATGAGATAATTGCTTTTTTTTTTTTTTTGGTAACATGACATTTCTTTCTTTCAGAACTTTTATGGAGCTCAGCAAGCCAAGTGAACTGTATGAAAAATGTTTGCAACTTAGTCTGGCTTTGGTAACGGATCTTCATGAAGAGGGACTTATGGTAAACGATATGAATTTCTCTGCAAGCATTTTAAAATCTTTTTTCATTAAGAAAATGGCTGTGAGAAATTCTGTTGAGTTGTTTTTCCTTTCACTCTTTTCTTTTTTTTCTCTCTTTTTTTTTCTCTCTTTTTTTTCTCTCTTTTTTTCTCTCTTTTTTTTCTCTTTTTTCTCTCTTTTTTTTCTCTCTTTTTTTCTCTCTTTTTTTTTTTCTCTTTTTTTTCCTCTCTTTTTTTCTCTTGTTTTTCTTTCTTTTCTCTTTTTTCTTTCATTTCTTACGTAATTATTTTTACTGATTTTTCTTATTTAATTTTAAAAATATTATCTTTCTTTCTTTTCTTTTATTTTTTTGATAAAATTCAAATAAAATAAAATGCTTTTTTTCTAAAAATTATAAAAAGACATTTAATAATAACTAACATATTTGATGACATACTTGTCTCCCCCCCCCCCCAAATGCCTCAAAAATAATTCCCAGGGTGTTACAAAGTTAGTTTATCTGCTTATAAACCATAACAATATTTATTATTTATTCAGATATTATAGAAGACCAGAACTTGTACCTCATCTTCTTTTTCTTCTATGTGCCATGTTCCTTCAGGACATTAGTAATCATGGCTCTCCACAACTTCCTGTCTTTTGTAGCTCTGAATAAAGCTAGTCTTTTCACTATCTTCCAACCCCTATTTTGCCAACCATTTACACAAGCTTGTTAGGTAGGTAACCTGCTGCTTGCTCTGTCCCTCAAGGAGTGTCAAATTCTTCAAACCTTCTTTCCTCATTATGTCCCCTACAAATTTCAGTTGACTCTTTCTAATACTAAGTAGAATTGTCCTTTTTGTTACCATTTTTCTTTAAAACTTTTTCGTTGCTGGCATGCAGAACCACATTTCTGTTGCCTCAAATCTCTTATTCTCTGCGAATATAGGAGAACTGATGCTGTAATATTAAATGTAAACAGAGGAAGTTTTTATATGCAAAATTGAAGTACATGTTAGGCTAATCTTTATAAAGATGCTATAAATTACCAGTTTTTGGAGGTAGTCTAACTCTATAATACTGTAATATGAAATGTTAATTGCAGAAGAGTTTTGTATGACATTAGATATGGTAACTTTTTTGTTAGTTGTGATGTCATGGGTAGGATTTTTTAAATATGCCAAAACTTTGATTTACTCTAGAGATTATAAACTGAGTGACATCTGAAAGTAGAAAAAATACAATAATTATAGATACATTTTAATGCCAACTGTGTTTGAATCAGTTTTTTGGAGGCAATGTTTTCATTTTTTTTCTAATACCCACAGTTTTTACTACTACTTCAGTAATTCTTTTTTTTTTTTTTCTAGTTTTTAATGGTAGAGAAAAATAATGTAAATTTTTATGCAAAATTTGGTTTGATAATTTTTTGTCCTCTGCTTGCAGATTGTGCTTTGATAATCAGGAAGAAAGGGATTGTCTATGGTCAGGAATTAATGTAGAATAATTTTATGTTTATGATAATTAAAATTGATGAAATATAAATATAAGGGATTTTATAAATTACAATATTTTTCTAACATATATGGCAAATTTTTTTACAAAATGATTTTCTAGTAATTATTTCTTCATTTCAAACAAATTATTTGTCAATTCACTCGAGACACTTTTAAAATGGATAAAATAAATGAATGTTATCCACAAATTTTAAATGTTTTAATATTTAATGGGAATTTTCTTCAAAGGAATCTGTCGATATTTCTGTATTTTTTCTTTGCTCGATGATACATAGTTTTAGTTATTTTGAGGTCGCAACAAAATGTCAGATTGACAAAAGATTAAGAAGAATTTCAATTCCAATTTTACCAACCTTCACTGATTTTTAATTTAAAAAGCACAGAAAATCAGAGGCAATTACAAAATCAGACTTCAAACACCGACTTTGTAATAACCAGCTTCGGCAATAAAAAATTTTTATGGGTTGATTTATTGTTTCAACTGAAGTCTTAACATTGTTTTCACACTAAAAGTAACATTGCGAATAAACTCGTTGGTGCCCGCAGATGAAAATGTATTTGAAAATGCCAAGCATGAGATAACTCATAGTCAGCATCACAATAAAAACTGCCATTTTTGAGGTTGATAGTCAATGTGTAAATCATGTCTAACCAGTGTTTAGGAAGAAAAGGAACTGGTGCAGCTGCCCTAGGAAACAAAGTGAGTTGCCTATGTCCATTTGAAACTAATTCCTTTGGCACAAGTGTACCCCTTGAACCATGTCTCATCACCAGATATCTTGACACTGGCATGTCACAGACAAATTAAAAATTATTCTCTGCTCTATGTCACCCAAGACACTTGAAGAGAAGATGGGCGCTGCCTCTTAATAGAATTTCAATATGACACTATTGAATCCAGGTTGGGGGATCGATCATTCAGTTTTTTAATAATTTAAAACAAGATGGTTACCATAATATAATAATGTTTTAATATTGGGAATATGTGTTTCCTATTATGGATAATCCATAATTCAGTTGTCCAATGAGACATTTACAAAGTTAAGCAGGCTTTCATCACATATCAGTAAGAAAATCTGATTTGATTTTCACTTGAACTGAACTGACAGGTAGCACCTGCTGTAATGTATTTTTTCCTATAAAAAAAAATAAGAGAAAAGTAATGTTTTTGAGAATTCATTTGGGTAATTATTAAATTAACTAATTTTAATTTTTATCAAATCCTATATTTCTATAAATGCTACTTTATTTTTGGAAGATTTTTAATTACAGAGTTTAAATTTTTCAGTTGGTCGATATCAATCATGCCATAAGCACATTTAATTTTGACTGATAAAAATTGATTTTAAAAACAGTTTAAAACCTGCTTTTAATATGCGAAAGTATTATGAGGGGGTGCTGAAAATCTCTTGGCCTGCTGAAGAAGCTCTTCCAAAAATAATTTTGATATTTGGTCAAATTTTCAGTGTACATACCATGAAAACCCCAACCAAACACACCAAGGAAATGAGTTTGGTTGGTATGGGCATGGATGGTATGTATGCATCAACTAACCTTGTAACATACTAAACTTTCCAAGAGGGTATCAAATGGCCATTTTACCAAATAACTGTTGCCAACCACCTCACGTCCTGGGTAAGACGATAAACTACGTCCAACAGTAAGGCTTCTGATCAGTAGACTTTGAGGAGCATGGAACCACCTCTTAATTGCTGGTGTTCCCAGGTCCACCCTGACCTGAGGTGGTAGCACCTGTTAGGGTCCCAGCTATGGGTAAATAGTTAACCCCTGAACTGGGGTCAAAACTCTATGAAAGTGTAAAAATAGGTTTTAATACCAGAAATATTTTTACCAGCAATAAATTTTTGAAGAAAAATTATTACCAGCAATACATTTTTGAAAAAAAAAAAATTGTCAGCTATACATTGAAAAGAAAATATTACCAACAATAAAAATCTTGTCGGTACTAACTAACCTATTGAGCTTGATATACCATAAAACAAAACAAACCAAACCAACCACCTGATGATTGTTTGAGAATGCATGAAACTTTTAGTTGTGGTCGGACAACAATTCACTGGGACTTATTTTTTTGAGAAATATTAAGGCTCTGCCAGTTAATGTGGTGTTGAGCTCTTTTTTTCCCAGTGGGCCTCTGTAGCAGACTCCATTAGGAATTGCTTATTATATGCTGTATTCTAGAAAAGGTTACTGAATGAGGAATAACCAAAATGAAGGGTGGAAATGAAATCGTAATCTTTATATCATCAACAAAATACAATACTCGCCAGCGGCGTGAAGTAGGTAAGCCACTGCTAGTAGTGAACTACTTAGACAGCATATTACCCGCCCGCCACTTACAATAGTGGGACATACCCATTAGTGTTCATATGTACGGTATATAACAAAATATATATATATTAGTGAGCCAGACAAACCTACCCAGGTTTCACCTAAGCGGATTGTCATGGAAAGCTTTCCCTGATGATCCGCTTAGGTGAAACCTAGGTAGGTTTGTCTGGCTCACTAGGTTTATCTAGGTCTGCTCTACGGTTGTATTGAGCTCTTTTGTTAGTTAGTTGTTTACTCGTATCGGGTTTTTTTTCTTTGGGCTTCAAACTTGTATCTGTGCGATTTTTTTTTGACAGACTTTCATGTTTCTAGCTCTTTCTTTTTTTAAAACATTTTTTCCCTCGAGATTGATTCGATTATTGGCAAATCAAAAATTCGTGGGTTTTCCAAACGAATATAGTTACCTATATATATATATATATATATATATATATATATATATATATAAAACAATAAAGAGAAAAGGTACTACAATTGTGGAATGAGCACATAGGAGAATTCTTAAATAACAACAGAGGAGTGAAGCTTACAAATTTAAAATAAAGACAGTAATTTTGATATTGAGAAGATTACTGATGTGATAAATGAAATATACAATAGTAGTGAAATACCAGAAAATGTAAATAGATCAAATTTCATTGTGTTGCCAACACAAGCTTCTCCAAATAATTAATTTGACAAGCCATGTAAGAAAACTAATAATTAGGATTCTACTGAATAGAGCTTATAACAGAATTAGATAAAGAGTAATGTAGCTTTATTCAAGGTGCTGAAGCAAGAAATGCAATTTTCTTGATCAGAATGCTGTCAGAATAAGCTTTTGAAATGTAAGAATGTGTTTTATAGATAACTGAAAAGCAGTAAACTACAAAACAAAAAACCTTTTGGAATGTTTGGAAAGCTTAATCTACATGAAAAGGACATGAACTATTCAAAATCTGTATTGCGGACAAATAAGTGAGTATACCAAAATAAAAGGGGGTTGTCTTCTCATTAGACTTATTTAACTAGAACAACAAAATGATTTTAAGAGGACCTACCAAGATTTATCATGTCACTTTAACACTGTGTTATGCAGATGATATTGTGATGATGATAGATTCGAAAGGAAAGCTGAAAGAACATTTAAACAAAATAGTTGATGAAAGCAAGAAGATAAGACTAAAAATGAAATGTAAGATGGAATTTGTGATTGTGAGCAAAATGGATAGCCTAAGACAGTGATTTTCAACTGCTGTGCCATGATACACTAGTGTGTCATGCAATATTGTCACATACATATATATGTATATGTGGAAATAGTAATGGTCTAGTGTTAGTATTTGAAGAAATGTATAAGTATTAATTTTTTTATCTCATATTAGCTAAAAAGGCTTTTATCAGTTTTATTGCTATTTTCTATTTCTTTTTATGTGAATTAGGCTTCTCATCCTTAAATAACATCAAAGACGCGAGAAAGACTCTGCTTAACTGAAGAAGAAATGGGGGTCTGCTTATCGCACATTCAACCAAACTTTGAAGAAATTGCAATAAATAAAACCAGAAGCTTCACAAATAGTTGAATAGAAATATTGAAATAAAGTTCATATTTGTTTAATCTATGGTTTTATTTCATAACATTTAAATGTATACCCCACTTTAAAAATTTTGCTAAGTTTGCCGTGATATTTTTGTTTGCTCCTAGGTATGCAGTTGCTTAAAAAGGTTGAGAAACACTGACCCAAGATGTGGATTACAAATTGGGGGTGTCAAATTTGGAAATTGACCAATCAGGCCAATGTTTGGTAACAGGGTAGAAAGACACAGAGGAAGAGTGAAAAATACTTTTCAGAAACTGTGTACGATATTAGGAGATTGAAAAATAAAATTAAAACTAAAGAAAAGAGTGTTAGATGCTTATGTTCCTAATCAAGAATTAATGTTGAATAGATTCGTTACATATGAAAAAAAAGATGCGACAGAGATGTGGTTTCATGGACAAATGTTGAAAATATCACTGCATTTGACAAATGAGTAAATTTTAAAGAGAAAAAGAAGTACAAAAATCTGTTGTTAATAATCAGAAGAAGGCTTGGAGAATTTGACACTCACAGGATACACTAAAAGCAAGAGAAACAGGAAAGCAGCAATTAACTTATTTGACATGTTGAGTAAATGAATGGAGGAACAAATGCTATGAGGTGAAAGGACAGAAAGCTGTGGAGAGCCACAACCATCCCTGAAGAGATATGGTACATAGAAAAGAAAAAAAACTAATTTTAAATAAAACAGTTTAGTCAGTTTATATTTAAAGATGCCTTTTGTTGAGATATTTTGCAATTGTGTGAAAGTTCTGAAAAGTTTAAAAAATTTGGTTAATTTTTTTTTTTTTTTTAGGGACGAACCATTTCAGTGAAATTAAAAACTGTAGATTTTGATGTGAAGACACGATCTCAAACCCTCTTGCAACACACAGATGATAAAGAGATGATCTATCAGGTGGCCAGTGATTTGATCAAAACAGAAATCACAGCCTGCTCTCCAAAACCTTTCAGGCTGCGATTAATGGGTGAGTTCTGTTATTAAGCATTTTTAATTTATTAAAGTTTACTTTCTTCATTATTTGGGTATTTACTAAGATTATCTTAATATGGTACAAAGTCCAAATGGGAAGATTGTGTTGCATTAATCTTTTTTTGATAGTAATCCTAATTTTGTACAGTAGAAAGACAAAATGAAGGCAGGGAAATTGTGTTAAACTTAACCAAGGTGTATATAGCATTGGGTAATTTTTTCTTTAGTCTTTATTTCAGATTATGTCAGCCAAATCTTTAACAAGAGAGCCTTTGAGATTGATATTCAAAAAAGGTGACATAGAATAAAAATCCCTGTTGGAAATAACAAAGATTTTTAATAGTTCATTGCATAATCTCAGCATTTAACAAAAAACATGACCTGAGTGTAATTGTTATTAAGGCAGACTTGTACATCAATGAACTAAGGAAATCAGCCTTAAGCAAGGTTGCCCAGACCTGTGGCCTTGTGCCAAACTAGGCTTTATAAATACCTATAAAAGGATTTATACCTATGGAAACTTTTCTTCTCTCTATTGTAATTGTTTCACTTTGATCTTTTTTTTCAAGGATGAAGAGGAAAGCATCAAAGGTAAATTGTAAACATGCATCTGTTTGCATAAACGTAATATTTTTTTTTATTGAAATGTAAGTTTAGTCAAAGACATTCATTTCTATTTTGGTTTGGAATCTGTAAAAAGAAATTTCTTCAAAATGCTTTCCACAAAAATCATCTTTTATTGAAAAGTCTGAACAAAATTCAACCGACATTGAATTAAAAATTGTCTCAAAATGATTAGCATGAATTTTTATTGACTTTAAAAAGGAATTTGTTATTTTATCTTTAAAAAATGCAATTTTTTTATTCCATGATTTTTTTTCCAGAAAAGTATCCTCAATTTTATTTTGAATCTCATTTCACCCAATTTGTTCTCCAACCATCTTCAGCTGTTTATTGCATCTGATGGCTGTTCACAATTTTTGATTTCTGCTCATTAGCAAAAAAAAAAAAAAAAAAAAAAAAAGAAGAAGAAAAAACTTCACACCATTTGCTGGATGCAAAATAATTAATGTTGGGATACAAACAACAAAAATTGGGATACTAATCTGATTAAATTCTGGAAAAATCTTGTGGATTCTTTACACTTATTTGATACCAAAGCTAAAGTGTCAGGTAAGAGATAAAAACTTTGAGTGGATTATATAAACAGTAAAACAATTTTATGATAGCTTTAAAAATAGATATATTAAAAAGTTTATATTAATAAAGAATACCTACAAATATATTAACAGAAAATGGTTGCGTTTTTTTGGTTTCATCATGAATTTTTACTTTTTCAAAGCTTAGCTTTTTATTTTGAGATATCTCATTGGTTTTAATATATTTCTATATATTGATATATACTTTTTTAATGTTTCTGTTTTTAAAGCTATAGAATTCTGTCCTCCTCATAAATTGTTTAAAATTATTTTTTAATACTGTTGTTGACCTTTGATGACCTGATAATTAAATGTTTATTTTGAAATCTTTGTTGTTAATTAAAAAAAATTAAAAATTTGTTACAGGCACTATTTATGTGTAAACATTAATTTTCCTTTCATGGCTATGAATAATGTTCTTAGTATGTTTTAGTATGAATAGTGTTTTTATTTAACAGTAACTTTATAAAGATGTAAACATCAATTAGTAGCATAAAAGAAAAAGAAAATAAATTTCATTTGTTTTTGGTAAGTTTCCAAGAAAATTCCTATGAAAAGTAGAAATTATATTTTTTGAGAAAAATTGTACAATGAAATTGATTTTTCAAAACACACAAATATTTTTCCTGTTCAGAAATTAATAAAATGAAATTATAGTCTTACAACAAATGGTAACATATAATTTTTACTATAAAAAATATTTCAGTATAACTAAATGAGGTTGAATTCTCCCCGATCCCCAATGATGAATGAAAAACATCTTTTATCTTCCTCTGGGTTCAGTAAGCATATATACTGTCGAAACATACCTACAGACGATAATAGGTATGTTTCCATTCACATAAATACAGTAGTAAATACTGTATGTTGGTCTGCAGTTAGAGATTCATTGTGGAATTCACTTGATTCACTTCTAGTAGTTGACTACTTCTGCTATGTGCCACTGGCAAATCTTATATGTGTTGTTCCTGTCCTAAGTATTATCGTTCATTACCAACTTTTCATTTGATTATTCTATTCACTAACCTTCCTTAGGTTACAACTCATATGAAATTTGAGAATTCTAGTTGAAACAAATTCACTTTTCAATTAGAAACAGAGATCATTAAAAAGGTTTGAATAAATCTTTATTATCAGTTGCGGCCCAGAGAATTAAATAAATTATTTATGTTTCCGAATTTCACAATTGGATTCAAAATGAGTAAAAATTCTTTTTTTTTTGCAATATTGACAGTGTTTAAACATGAACTATATTCTTTTTTATCTCTCTCTCTCTCTTTTTTACCTTTGTGATATTTCTTAATATAAGTGGAACGATCTCATGACTGAAATAGTTACATTCTGTATTTGATGTCCTTCAAAAGACATGGGTATGGTTAGATGTGCCTCTATTTTAGCAGAAGGTAGATTCAGCAAAACAAAATTTTCAGTGTCTATTTGGATGCTAACAGAATTTCATCCATATTCCCTATTTGGCAATTATTCCTTTCCTTCTATAGTTTTCATCAACTGATTAACAATGGGAATTCTGGCCTATTTAGGGACGATAGACCAGTTGGTACTGAAAAACATCTCCCATACCTTTTGATACAAGATCAATAAGAAGAAGAAGAAAAAAGAGAAAATATTTTTATGGAATGGGGTTGGGTAGAAGTTACTATCTGAGGAAAATTATAGCCTCACACAGGGGAGAAAATTAGTTTATAGGAAACCTTAACTTTGAATTGCAGGATTATTTTATTTGGGTGGGGGTGGGGGGGTCGTTTTATCTACCTTTAAATATGTTATTCTCTTTTTTCTGTTATTTCTTAACCAAAATGTGACCATTTTCACCTGTGATCGATGTTTAGAATCTTGCATGGTGATTTTGCTTTTGTTTTGGTAGACTCCTGACTGAAAAGACTGTAGTAACACAATCTTTCTACTCTTCTTCCAACTCAAATTGGCTTTATAATCAGTAGTGGGAGATCAACTATGAAAATAATAAAGCTTAAGCTTCAGGAACCCTATAGCGAAGAAAACGGCGATTTACCTCGTCAAACCAAGCGACAGCGCGTCGCGTGTATCCTACGACGGAAAATGTGGCGAAAAAGAAAATTACTTACCAAAAAAAAATGGGCACGTATTCTGCATGACATGCTGAAGACAGAATATGTAAATTAAAAACAAGTCCGTTGTAGGAGTCGCTGTAAAGGTATTTTGGTACACAAAAATTGGGTGTCCTCTCTCAGTTGTTAGGGAATGAAAAAAATGCTCAGCCGATAAAAGCATTTGGTGTTCTTGAATCGGGAACGAAAATTGATATATTTTGGCTACCGCATTTGTTGGAGAGTGAGTTATTTTTCTGACTGGTTATGTGCATTGGGATTTGTGAGATAGAAAACCTTCGAATCAAGTTTTTGGCATTTCTTTCGAGCCTAAACTTACAGTGATTTGTTCTCTGTATTGTGGAAGTAATCTGCGACAAATATTTCCTTTGCTTTCAGAACGCCTACAAAACTCTAATCCAAAAAGGGACTCTAAAGCAACTTTTTTTAATGAGTGAATTTTTCAACAAAATTGATGTTTTTTTTTGTTTTTTTTTTTTTACTGTTTTTATTATAAAAAAGACCATTTTCATGATAGAATCTGAAGCCAATTGATCGAAGTAGCTAATGTTGGTCTTAGATTATGTTCTAATACGGCTTTCATATGATCTCAAAATTCTCCTATCATTGGTTAAATTTTTATTGGGGGCTTGCACTGCCTGAATCTCCAGCTGTAAGGGTTCATTGATCTCCCCAGAATCTTTTTATAGCCTACATTTTGGCAGTTAGATCCTTGAATATCTTGTTCCTTAAAACAAAATCATTTGAATAGATACAAAAATATAGCTTTTTCTTTCCCATTTTCCAGGTGTAAGAATATCAAATCTGTTGCCGAAAATCCAATGCCAAAAGCAGGATACCATTGACTGTTTTATCAAGAGAAACGTTTCTGTACTAACCACTGTTTCTTCACAGTCTGAGAAAAATCAGACCATTTCAACAGAGCTTGCTGGCAGTAGTCAGCCTGAGAGCAAACAATTTGCCAAAAGCCCAGCTGGCCATTACTGCCCAATCTGTAACCGTAAATGTCCCACAAATCTTCGCCTTTTCAATGCCCATATTGACAAATGCCTGTTGTCAGGGGAAAACTCTCGGCCATCAAGGAAACGCTTAAGCCCCTCTATTGACAAAGATGTTTTTACTGAAAGAAACACCCAGAGTTCCACACCATTAAAAACAGGCAAACAGCAACATAGGCGACCATTGAAGAAAACAGTAATATTAGATGCAGTGGTTTTACCAGAAAGTTCCATGGAAAGAAATGCCAAGGGAGAACAAGAAAAGAATTTGACTGCTGTGGACATTGTTGGTACAAGTTCTACTGAAGATGGTCATGCACAAGAATTTGGCATTTCTTCTCCCATATTTGCTCAAAGTTCAGAATTTAGATTCCCAATTCCTGAAGCCAAGGAAATTGGGGAATTTGCTTGTACTGAGCTTAGGCAGAAAACATCTTTAGAGATTGGTGTTGATTCTGCTGAAAAATCTGCACCTATTCCATGCAACGTGTCAGATTCTTGTGTTATCACAGATCACCAAAGCATCAGTTCCAATGTTTATCAACCTACATCTGTGATGAATTCTTCATTGTCTTTGAATAGTTCTGAAAATCCTTCTGTTAGTGTTGAAAGTTTGTCTCATATTGATCTAAAAAACAGCATAAAAAATTGCCTTGCAGGGGAACGTTATTCCCAGCAAATTGAGGAATCAGGCAAAGTTTCAAAATCTGAAACCGATTCTTCATTGCCTTTAAAAAATTTAGAGAAAATCTCAGACACTGATCTTTCAGAGCAGCCAGCCAATAGTAGAATTAATGAAAACAGCTCTAGAGAAAAATCTCCAATTCTACAACCTCTCAGAGATTCAGAATCACCAAGGAAACTCAGTCCACGGGAAAAAGTTTTGTCTGTTCCAGCGCCAAGTTTAAAAGAGCAAAATAAAAAAAACTGGCTGCAAATATTGCAAAAGTGTGCCAAAAAATCAACTGAGTACAGTGAAGATTCTGTAACTTTTTTGGAGAAAGAATCAACAATTCAAATAGAGAAGACCAAAAGAAAATCAGATTCCATCTCTCCCTCCAAGAAAAAATATTCTTCCAATTCTATGTCTGCAGATAAAGAAAAGTCTAAAATTGCAAGGAATTTATTGCAGTACTTCCATCCCACTGTCACTAAACAATGCGACCAGACATTTGAAAAGGATTCAGATCCCGTTCAACAGACAGGTATGATTGGAATCAAAACAGAACCACTCTCTCCTGAAAGCCCCCAAAAGACTTTTCACATTCCAAGGATTCTTACTCCTCCACTTTGTCCTACAAAAGAAGAAAATCCTCCTCCTCCTCCTCTGCTGACTGACTCAAGTCATAGTAACTGTGATGAATCTGAGAATTCTTCAAATAAAATCCATTTTTTTCAATGTGATGTGATTTCCAAGGATGAATTAAAATGTTACCCACCAGCAATTGACACGCCTAGTGAGACAAATCAAACACAACTGAATCATTGTGATCATAGTTCAACACAGATAAATGTTTTCGGTGAAATTGTAGAAGTTGGTTATCAGAAAACCATTGTGAAGCAAAAAAAGAAAGTCTCTCTTTCATCTGATTTTGGAGATTCCCAAATGATGGCCAAGTGTGAACATTCACAAGTGACCACTTTGTCCTCCCCTCCATTATCACATGATGAACTGGCAGTCGACTTGAACGATGAAAAGTCACAACTACATTCTGTAACAGATGACAACAATGACAAATTTACAGCCACTTCAGTTCATGTTTCTCCGTGTTCTGTGGAGGCTGAGGAGGAGGAGGAGTCATCCCGGGAAGACTTTTCTCGGCCTTTTCAGGCACCAAATTGTGAAATGGCTGACAAAGAATCAATTTGTCTGTTAGAAAAAGAATCGGATCCTTCTCTGCAAAACAGTTTACAACCTGTAAATTCCTTTGACTGCATTCTGAATCAAGAAGATACAAGTATCTCTGGGGGCATTTTTACCTGTCCTGTTTGCTCTAAAGAAGTGACAGCTTCTGATATGACTGTGTTTAATGAACATGTTGACCTCTGTCTTAACCAAAATGTCATTCATAAGATTCTCATTGAGCAAGGAGCAGAGATCCGAAAAACAGAAGCCACAAAAAGGTGAGTTAAGATTTTTCTTTTTAAATTCTTCATTTTCACTCTCTTGGAAATTTTGCCATCCAAAACATTTTAACAAATCCACAGAAACAGTGTTTATTTCTCTTGAATCATTCACCATTACTGATGTGACATGCTTAGTGCTAAGCCTTCACAGAAATTATTCTGTCTGTTCTACTCTCTATCAATGCAAATATGTCTTTGACAATCACACAGACATTAACCATTATCTTCCACACACATTCACATAAACTGTGCCTCTTACTCTGTAACTCTCTATCTTGAGTGGCTCTCGGGCCTTGTACAGGTTAAACAACATTGTATTAAAAAAAAATAGAAATTTGTCTCTAAAAATGCCCAAAAATATTTCCCATACTTTTGAAGTATTTCTGGTGAAAAATTGATTTTTTTTAGATAATTTGTGAAATTTAATACTGAAATTCCATAAAAAGTGTAGTGAGATTGCAGCTGTAGCTTGCCAAATTGCAAAATGGCTGCTTCCTCATTTTATGAGACACAACAAAATCTAACGAAAACTGGGAGATTTTATTTAAAGGAAATCAGGCCAGATTTATTCTTAATATTTTTTCTATTTCCTGTTTTTATTAAATGAATTTGAATATTTGTTGTTAAAAATACATTTTATATCCAGAGTCTGTGATTGTCAAAAATAATTTGTCTTTTACATGTAAAAAATAGAAAATATATTTGGATGAAAATATTTTATATTTTAAAATGTGTGAGTGTGTGTATTAATAAATCTGTAGACTGACAAATGATTATGAGCTTAATTTGGATCTGAACTTTTCACTGTATAATGTTTAACTCAGTAGTGAATATTAGATTAATCTCCTACCATATATATGTTTTTTAATTAAATAATATTTTTTATCAAATTACATCTACTGGCCTGAAAAATACTGTTTAATTAAAAAACAGGGCTTCTACTTGAATATGAGTATCCATCAAAAATAATAAATTAAAAATAAAAATATATCAGATTTAATCCATTTCCTAAAATAAATTGTCTTTGCTTACATTAGGATATAAAACAGAGCAGATACGGATGTTTTAAGAATTGGCAGAGAGTGTGTATTTAAAAGCACTCTTGAGGCTTTGTCTGATCATAAGTCCTACGTGCCCGAATGGTTAGGCATGTCAAATCCAATGTCAGTTCCTTATAGGGGATGAAGGTTCGAATCCTGCTAGAGGACGCATATTTTTCTGATAAGATTTCTCATATATTCAGGCCAGTAGATATATTTGGATAAAAATTACTGTTTAATTAAAAACAGAGCTTCTACTTGAATATGGGTATCCATCCAAAATAACATTTAAACAAAATAAATTAAAAATAGAAAAAAAAGAAATTTATATATATAATCTTGTCTCTACTCTGAGTTATTTTTGTTTGACTTGTCAACACTTTGTGTTTTATTTAAAGCTGAAACATTTTAGAATGTGTAAATAATAATTTGTTTGCAAGTGAATATTTTGTTAATTTTTGAAAACAATGGTTTTCCAGATAAAAGTCTTTGCTTTGAGTCTAATGGATTTCCATCCACTTTTCATAAGACTTGATTGTCAAAAAAACTTTGAAATCTTTTACATTCAAGTCTCCTGAGGGAGTGAATGTAATCCTACAAAACTCATAATCAAGATTAATAAATATTTAATTTTATGCATTATTATTAACTCTTGCTATCAAGCACTATAATTATAAAAACTGTTTGTTTTAAAGATTTTACCTACTAGAAATACGCTGGATAACAATATTTGTTATTTCATATATATATATATATATATATATATATATATGTGTGTGTGTGTGTATGTATGTGTGTGAAATGTGTATGTCTATATATATATATATATATATATACTCTCAAAATACACACACATATATATATATATATATATATATATATACACTATATGTGACGTGGTTGTCTCAGGGTTGATCCGCTGGTCACGGCACCCACATGTGACGGTTACACACCTGGCCCAGGGTCGAATCCCTTGGTTACGGGCGCTAACTGTGACGTCGCTCCTCCTGGTCGCTCCTCCTGGTTCCAAGCGTGCCGCTCCAACCCCTTGGTTGGATGATCACCAGCCTCGCCTTTCCCAACTCGCTTCAATACCTGGTTACTGAAGCAACTGTACTGATCTCCGGTCTGTCCACCCACGTTGTGTTTAGATCTTAGACAGACGGGACCAGCAGGGATCGGGGCGATACAAGTTGAGTCCGGACGGGGTGGCAAAACACAAGTAAAAGAAAGAAAAATAAACTCACGAGACAAAAAGATTGCTGATGAAAAAAAGGGTAACAACCTTTTATATCTTAATGTCCGCTACATAAAAACAAAATTGTTCTCATTTCCCGACCCGCTCTGTGGACTATGGCACCAAGCTTCTATCACACAACCTAAAGATTTGAATTGCCTACTCTTTAGAATTGTGTATGTCGGAGTGTGGTTTGGTTCGACACTGGGGCTAATTTCTATCGATCATTCGCAGTTGATTCTTCTCTTTGACTTGAGTTGTATTTCTTCTTCTTCGTCGACTTAGGCTGGAAGTTCTCTTGTCTTTGACTTGGGCTGGAAGGATCTCTTGCCGCAACTCTCTGTCGTCCGAGGTGATCTCTTCTCGCTGCCGTCCGGGGCTGAACTGATTTTTGTCGATTGGGGCCCTGCTTTTATTGACGCTGCAGCAACCCGGGGTGGGTCTGTCGGCGTCAGGGTTTTCTCGATAATTCCAAAAGTCGCATTATTTTTTTGACTTCCCATTATCGCTATTGTTTTCCCCCTACTTCCTCACAGTGCCTTTGGTGGGGAGGTGCACACCCATCTCTCTTAGTCTCGTATGTCAGGTGACTGTTTTTCGACCAATGGTTCCTGATCGGGCATTTCTTTCTCTTCTTTTCTGCAGATCACGCGGACCGTTTCCGACCAATTGTTATTGATCGAGCATCCTTTCTCCTCCTTTCGGGCGTGGTTACATCGTTCTTGTTTTTAAAAAACAAAATCCAATTTTGCCTTTTCTGCACGTCTGAAAAATGACAATCTTGGCTTTTCTCACCTGGGCTGTGTCAAACAGCCCGCCGCTAATTAGATGTGACTTCAGGGAAGAATATTGGCGCTATCTGTGAACTGAGACAATCGTCCCCTTCACCTCCCGTCTTTGTCAGACCCGACAGTCAGAAAATCTTAATTATCTACATTGAAAATGTTCCCACTTTATTATCGTAGGTTTCCAATTCTTAATAGGTCAGGATCTGTATATAGTTCCACGGTCACTGCCCTCAACCCAAAAAAAAAACTTTTTTTTTTCTCTGATTAAGATTTCGTTCTCATTGTTCTTAAAATTTCCCTTTACTCCAAATTGATAATGAGTCTTTCTACGCAAAAAGTAGGTCAGATGTTTTGACCGATATCTGGTTTTCAAAGCTGCCCGTTTTGATATCATGTCTTTTCCTTTCTTTCTTCTTATTATTTCTAATTCTATTCTTCCAATTGTCTAAAAAAAATTCGCCACACGCAGGCCAAGATATCTTTCTGACTCCTATCTCCACCATTGACTGGGTCATGCATCATCCAACTCTCTTTCTTTCTTTTTTTCTTTTCTTCCTTTTTCTCTTTTTCTTTTCTTTCCTCTTCTTCCCTTAGGATCGTCTAAGTACAATCTTAGTGAATTATTTTCAACTCAATTATTTTCCGTTTTTAAAAAAATCAACAACCTGTTTAGTAAACTGAGTAAAAAAAAATTAAATCATATTTCTATGAATATTTCTAATAATGCAAGGTGCCACAATATATACACTAGACTCTCCCATTGATTCAATGTATGAGTGTCAAGCAACTCAGTTCCTAGAAACTGACAAACAGATGACTTGCACAAATCATTTGATTATAGTGGTGAAGGCTTTGTGCAGAACTTCTGTTATCACAGTGTGGGAATATCTACTAACAAAAGGGATGGAAAGAAAAAAAAATTAAATGAAATTGGCTAGATTAAAAGAAAAAGAATATTAAATTTTTTAATTCCCAGCATTCCTCGTTCATGTGCATCAACATAACAAATTTAATCAAATGAAGTCTTAAAGGACAAAACACATCACATGAAAACTTTCTGCACTTTGTCATAGATTTTCCTCCAATATTGTTCTTGATATATAAAATATATATTATCATCTATATATATATATATATATATATATATATATATATATATATATATGTAATAAGAATGAACAGTTAGATTAATGATCCAAAGTTCTTTAGTATTTGTTTTTATTTAAAAAAAAAAAAAAAAAAAAAACAGTGCTCAATACAGAAGTAGAGCTTAAAAATATAATTATTTTTTTAAAAAATATCATTCTGTTGCAACACAGAAATTACTATGTTTCAAAACTGACTCAAGTCATAAAGTTTAGTTTCAATCTTAAACTTAAAATTTGGAAAACTGAACACAAGAGAAAAACAAAATTCTCAGTGCAAAAAAAATCTGTCCTCATTCATAATTGTGACCAATGGATAAAAAACACACTCTTTGGGTCCTGTCACTGGATCTAACTAATGCCTTTATCCACAGTGCACTGTGGATAAAGATGTTAGTTAGATCCAGTGACAGGAGACAAAGAGTGTGAGCTTAGTACCCGGTTAAGGCAGTGGAGAATTTGGAGAGGGGAATTAACAGGAGCTAACTGATAACTGACATCCATTAAACATGGCATGTGGAACTAGAACAGTCTACCTCAGTGAGCAAAATAAAGGTTTCAGTTTGACATTCCAACCACCTGAAGAAGGCTGGAGTGTACAGAGGCCGAAATGTAATAAATATGGCGACAAAGATGAGGACAATAATCCAATTAATGTAAATAGTGTCCCAGGACGGTCTTTAGAAGTCACTTGTACCCTTTAGTGTAAATCATGAATATTTACAATATTTACATTCGGACTATTGTCTTTTGTCAAAGACGAGGACAATACTTCAAATGTAAATAGGGTAAGTAATGATAACTCCTTATCCCCAAAATTCAGACAGAAACTAAATATTCTTCTTGTGTCATCTGTTGTCATCATTAAAGAATCAACTTTTTTCTTGGTTTCTTTCACAGGAGAGCTGACTTGTCGAGTTCTTTGCTGAAAACCAACAAAAAGAAGAAATACAAAATAGGAACAAAGAGTAGCAAGGATGAAAAAATACTAACACTCGATTCTTTTTTTAGCTGAGCTTATTTGTAATTGTAGAAAGAAATTTTTGATGTTCAATTTTCTCCACCTTTGAATATGAATCTAAAGAGATTTTAGTCTCTACAGACATTGAACTAATTTTTGCAGTTGGGTCCATAGGGGCTGATATCTCACATGAAATGATTTTTTTTTTAAGCACAACAAATTGTACAATGACTTAAATTTGCAACCTGTGATTCAATTTCAACAAATCAAATGCAAGAATTTTGTGCCAGTAAACTTAAGAAAAGCCTGTAACTTTAAACTCTTAAGATCCAACTCTATTAAATTGTACGAAGCAACCTTGCCATGGAATAAGAGTTACCAAAAGCAATGTAGATTTAAATTTGGTAGAAGAGATGATGAGAATTGTCTGTAGGACTCATTTGACTTCTGTCAACAATCTAGAGTTCAAAATTACCACTTCAATGTGTCTCTTGTAACTGTTTTGTGTTCAATAAAAAGAAATAAAAGGCTTTTAGCAGACATTAACTAAATTTACATCAACTCACTTCAATTAAAACTTTTGGTTTTAGCTTAAAATAAATTTAATTAGCTTTGGATAAATTTAATCAAAATTAATTTAACATTTTCATTTTGGCAACTACTGATTTGTATGATAATTATTCACTAATCTTAAGTCTGGTTTAACAGTGGAACACCTAATGAAAATATTAAAAAATTGGTCTGAGATGAGTCTGCTAACAATTGCTCTATGGTAAGGTATCTGTGATATCTAATAAGTATATCTTAGTCTGGCATAAGGCCACAAGTGTGGGATGTTTATTAAAGATCAAACACAATTCAGTTATAATGGCCTGAGATTTGCTTGCTAATTCTTGCTCTATGACAAGATTGCTCCATACTATGTAAATTTACAACAAAAAACAGTCGAGCAATAAAGATTGATACATTCAAAGTGGTATCCTCATCTTTGTTGTTTTGGGCATCAGTTGAATGTTGAATGTCACACTTAGCCATCCACTTGTTTTTTTTGTTGGGGGCGGGTGTGGCTAGTGAAAAGAAAAAAAATTGTAGATGACACATTGAAGTGTGAGCAAATTTATTTTTCTTAAAGATTTGTACATCTCTCCTGGGGGTTCATTTTCCACAAATTCACTAATTTTCTAATGACATATTTCATAATATGGCCATAAGTTAGGGACATAACTGAGTGTGGACAATTATTAAACAAACGCGCACACACACACACACGTTTTCTGATTTTAAAAACATTGGATTTTTTTATAACAATGACACTTTCAAATTAAAATTTGTCATACAATTGAAATCTTGTTATCATTTGACTTGTTTTTTGTTGTTGTTGTTAGCTTAAATAAATTTTGCTTCTCTTTTTTTTAAAAAAATAAATAAATAAAAAGTCTTTTGGTCTAATTAATTTATTTTAAATAATTCTTTTCTTTACAGAATGGAAGTCAATGTTTGGTATTTATATTCAATATATAGATTATATAAAAGTCACAGGTGCTGAAATGTATTCAGCTTGACTCGCTCCCCTACAACAGTATTCTGATGTTAGGAAGTGAGTCAAGCCAAGAACTTTTCATACTCAGTATTTACTGACAAATAAAATACACATTTAATATATATATATATATATATATATATATATATATATATATATATAAACATGTTTAAAGAATTAATGCATTTGATTTTTTTTAATCAAATACATTTTTATTACTTAATTTTTAGTGGATACCATTATTTGAGTAGATGTTCTGTTTTGTTTTGTTTTTTAAACAGTATTTATTTCCTCTAACACCCTGCGCACTCAAGAAAAATATGAGTATTGACTAAAAATAATGTTTGAAGTAATAAAATAAGCTGGATAAAAAAAATATAAAATCCATTAATTCTTAAGAAATTGTTTTGTTTACATTTTGGATATGAAACTAAGCAAATGTGAACTCTCCAGAAAATTACAAATAGAACCTTGCCCAACTGTGAAGCTCTTTGTAGCTGAGCTGTTAAAGCACACCAGATCAGATGACAGTTTCTCCAACAAAGGGGAATACAAATTCAAATCAGAATGAGGTTGGTGGAGAAGAGTGGAGGATGACGTCAACTTGCAAGATCTTTGCCAACAAGACTTCAGTTGCTCACCTCCACACCAATCTCAACTACATGACTGCTCCAAGTCTACTTCCTGTCTTCTTCAACTATTTCAAGGGCTAGAATTGGCCTGATATTAACACATCCCAGTGTTGCTGGCTTGAGTTTAATTATCTCAATTGCTCTTTTCCAACTTTCTCTAACTTTTGTTTGTTCCAAAGTCCGCTTTTCCATATCATATCTGCCCATTGGTTGAATAACATTTTATGACAATTCATACTGATTTTGTCACCAACTAGATTCACTCAGCCAATTGACCTTACCTGGTCAAATTACAATTTTTCCAGCATTCACTTTTCCATCTGCCTGTTTCCCTATTTTCTCAAGAATTATCTGCCCCTGCTCATCTTGTGAACGGGGTGGAGGGGTGGCTTGATTTAAAATCAACAACAGTGATCCATCATTTTGTCTTTAAAGAAATGTTTGTTCAGCTTTTAACTGTCGAGTTCCACAAGGATATATCCTCTGAGAGTCAATTTTTTAACTTCAACTCCCTTCTTATAATTTCTCAAAGTAATTCTGCTTTCTTTCAGTCGAGTTAGTCATTCTCTTTCTGAATTTCTCTTGTCTTTAATGACATCTGCAATCTTGGCTTTTTGTCAACGTCTTGCACAGAGGAGAAATCTCACTTTCACTGGACTTTTTTTTTTTTTAACTCAAAACGGCAAATCCTATTTTAAGTAGAAAAAGCAGCCCCCCACTCCCAAGTACTTCTAACATGCTTGTGGCTTAAGAACATATCATATTGAAACACTAGTTCTCATACAATCACTGTAGTTAAGCAACATTGAGCCTGGTCAGTATGTAGATGGGTGACTGCTTGGGAATACCTGATGCTGTAAGTTTAGATATGAGGATAAATAGCTCAGAAGTGGAAATTGGTAAGCCGAGTTCCAATTCTAGTTAACTTCACTATATTCACCCATGCGCAAAATCCCCTTCAGAAACATATGAATCCACTTCATCCTTTGAAAATTTTTAGGTCAGGGAGAACAAAAGACACTCTCTACTGGCCCTAAGAACCTCCTGATATTTTTTTTTAATGGACTGTGATTGGACGGTTCAAAAGTGAACTGCCTCCCCCCTTTGAAGGAGAAGGGAGAACTGGGACTGGACCTTAGCAGCAGTTGGAAATGAGACCGCTTAGAGAAGAGGTTCATTTTCTCTCTCCCTGCTGGAAAAGCAGACAGTGTTTGGCCCTAAGTAAAGGATGCATGTGTAACAAAGTTGCTGAGGGCAAGTTTCCCCTTCAGAGAAAGTTTTGAGAAGTCCTCTCGAAGAAGCCCCAGAAAAGAAAGTTTGAAAAGAAGTCCATAAGTGGAGTTTCGAGATAAAGCTGTTTGAGAAGAAGAAGAAGAAGGAGCAACATGTGCGTTTTCAAAAAGTGTTTTAGCGCATGTTTAAGTAAATTTTCACCTTCTAGCGGCCGTAAAAGAAAGGCGTAATATCCAGGCAGATGGGAGGAAAATAAGTGAAGAAAGGAGGGAGTTTGGTCACCAAGAAGAGAACCTTGTCTACATAAGAGAGAAAAGAAAAAAAGATAAAACCTTTTGAACCTTGAAAAGACTGAAAGTGTAGAGTTAAGGCTCTCTCCTCCTTTTTTTATTGTTATCATTGACACAGTAGGTGGGCGCAATGCTTTTTTTGTGCATTGTAATTTTTAAGTTTGTTTTGTGCTATGTATTTTTACATTGTGTTACTCAGAGAATAGATTATCTTATTCTCAGCAAAAAGGGACGAATTTTTGCAAGAACCCTTATTTAGCTGGTTAGAATAAATATTTTTTCTTTGTAATTGAATCTGATTTGCATTTTTTTTCTTTCTTTTTCGTTATTAATTCAGGCAATAGCGAAAATACTGTTGCAGAAGGTTTTATTTTCTTTCAGAAAATAAAATTTCTGGAACCCTCCCCAAGCTATGGTTTAATTAGTAGGAATTGTATCAGTAAATCATTATTATCTCCTAGATTCATAAAATCTAAAAAATATTTTCTGACTTTAAATAACTTGCAAAAGGTTGATAAGCTGTAAAAAAAACAAATCAATCAGTTAATGCTAGTAAAATCCCATTTTCACATTAACTTATAACATTCCTATTCTAACTGGACACTAAATATAGATTTCCACTATTGTAAGTATTGTCCACATCTGTATTGTTATGTTTTGGCCGTTTCATCAGCTGTATATCAATGCTGGGTAACATGATAGGTAGAAGAAGCACTAATCAGCAGGCAGAGTAGTTTTAAGGCTCCAAGTTCACAGAGAATGGTCTAACGAGACAGTAGTGTAGTGGATTGCAGCATTGGTTTGTGAATTTGGTGACAGTAATTGTGAGTTCAATCCCTGGGCCGGACAGTGTTTACTTGAACTCAGTAGAAATAGGGCAAGCAATAAGTGAACAGTATTAAAAATAAGAACTAGACAAGATATCTCTAGATATGTGTAGTGGGTCTGAGAACAGTCTAGCCCCATAGATTAAATAAGGGGTTCAGTTCAGAATTCCCTGCAGGTTACCCAGATCGATATACACCTGGTGAAGGTCAGGGTGGTGGGTGGTTAGTTCACAAAAAACCAGAAGTTTGAGAAACTATTGTTTCTCAAACTCAACCCAGACCTCAAGTACCACTCCAGCAAGTACCTGACCCCTTCTGCCAGAGTTAGATTGGGCTGAAAATGGAGTATTGCTGTCATATTTGGACAGGAGCTGCCTAGTTTTCACTTTTCAGTCTTGATAGAGTCCAAGAACATCTCTGCTTCCTTGTGGGTGACAAATTATTTTCCACCCTACAATCCCTTTCCTCACAGATGGGATGTGGTAAGCTTCTCGCTATTTCCATGGAAAGTGCTCAGATGAACTATATTCCTTAGTTGCACGACTTCTAACCTTCATGGCTAGGCCCACCATGCCACACATAGTGAACCACCCTCATTCTCTCCATATTCCATTGGTGAGAAGTTCCCCTCAAGCAGCTTCTTCCGACAAATCACTACTCTGTGGAACCAACTCCCAAGAAAGTGCTTCCCTGATTGCTACAATCTTAACCTGTTCAAGTCTAGAGTTAACTGTTATCTTCCCCACCTATCTGCATAAACTTTGCCTCTTACTGTAATGCTCTACCTTGAGTGGCTTCTGGACTTTGTACAGGATGAACCTCACAGTAAAAAAAAAAAAAATGTCCGAATGTAAATAACTTCGTCCGAGGAATTCAGATAAAAATGATCAATTCACTTACCTTTAAAATCCACACCTGTAATAAATTTACCAACTGAAATTAATGCTACTTATCTATTAATTGATTCAAGGTACTGTTCTTATATAATGCTACTACCCCGGTTGTCGATTATGGATCAATTCCACGTTGTTCGATAGTGTCACAGGTCAACAGTGATTGGTCACTGTCCATTTCGGTTCACATCTTGCTCTGCCCACATTGTGTTTCTTGATCACAGAACTGGTAGGGATCAATTAACAGCAGCAATTGTAGTGCTGATTTGGGCCACCCATTGTGAGCTGTGCTATGATGTGAAAAAAAAAGAAATGTCTTTTCAGATGAAGTAAAAACAAAAAAGTTCTTCAGGTTAATTTTCATTTTGGTTTTATGTAGTTCTTGGTATGAAAAAAAAAAAATAACCCTTCCCACTAAAATCTCTTTAGTGACACTTTGCCTATTGGTGCAAATTCTTGGAACAGGACTTAAAGTTGGGAATTCTTTCAGCAGCTGGTCACGTGGGGTTCAGTAGCTCCTTCATCTGCTGCTGTCTTGTCTGTATCTTTCACCATCTCTAGCTCCAACTCCAATTGCCTGGGTTCTGCTTATATTGACTTTTATTCAAGACTGGAGTAGGGGCTGATGATGAGGATTTGGGTTTTCTTCAGTCTTCTGTATTGATTTGAATAAGAGTTCTTTGTTGTCTGGTCTGTAAAATTAATTATCTCTACAAATTTGGTAGATCCCTTCCTCATATGCGTAGTGTTTGCTGACCATATACTCATTCCTTCTTTTATTTATGCCTCACACCATTACTTCCAAATAAGCATAGACATTTTTTCTGTCTCTCTTAGTATCTCACTTAAGGCCATCACTTTTCCCCATTTTAGTGGAATTTCAAACTGAACCCTTTATACAAAGCCTGAAGCTAGAGAAAATCTCAGAACCATTAATTCTTCCTTATGATGTCACTCGTCTCTTCCACTGAGCCAGGTTCTATGACTTTTTCTCACTACCTAATGCAGAGACTGGACATATAATTGCCAGGTAACATTGATTAAGGCATGTGTCCCATAGGATACTAAAACTCATGTCACTTGACCCGTCAACAGAACAATACATTTATTTTTCTTTTGTGTATTCTGTCCTTTCAGGATATAGGCAATCATGGCTCTCCACAATTTCCTGTCTTTTGTTGCATTAAGTAACTTTTGAATCTTTACAATCCTTCTTTGTCCTTGTTTTGTTGGCCGTTCAAACTTGTTAAGAAAGTTCTTTGCTATTTCCCAGCTTCTATCTGTCCTGTGAGTATTAAATTCTCCAGGACTTCTTTCCTTATTATGCATCCCAGCAATTTCAACTGTAAGTATTAGCACCCATAGAGTTTGTATTTTCCTGAAAATTGCTTTATCTTTTGACTATCATATTTTGAGCATCCATCAGAGGAACAACATTTTTGTCACTTCATCATCTATGAAAATATTCTCAATCATTTAACTGACATACACACCCTGTCTGAAGTTATTAAGCAAATCATATAAACTTCAATAATTCAAATTTGGTTTGAAAAAAAATTGTCAAATTTTAAACACTCAATTGAAATGTCAAAACAAAGCGCGAGTTAAAATTTTAGGTAGTATCAATATAAGTTATTGAAGTGATTTGATATATACTAAAAAAACTGCCGTATGAAATTATTAGGCAAAACCAAATAATCACATTTTACTTCAATAAAAAGGTAATAAAATCATCAAAAATTGATCAACATCTATGATAGAATAAATAACAAGCACATAATAAATCTTCGTATCCTTTACATTTTAATATAAAGTGATCCTTCTTAATGACAGATAGTAATATATAATTCGTTGATATTGTTAATTCTTTTTACCTCAGTAGGTTCAATTTCTGACATGGTAATTTTAATTGCTTCCCATAGGTCTGCTTTGCTATTATATTGTTTGCCATCTTCATATAATTTCATCTTGACCATAGATTTGCAATCAGATTCAGATTAGGACTTGATGGTGTCTATTCCATTATCTTTTCTCCTGTTAATCTTTTATGCTCAAAGAATTCACGGGTAAGCTTAGATATATGATAAGGAGCATCGCCGTGCATAAATACACACTTCACTTTGTATGGTACAAGTCACAGTTTCAAAGAAAGTCTTGTTTATAAAATGGCAATAGTTAGCACTGTTCAGTTTAACTCCTTCAAATGGTCCAATAATGGTTTGGTCAACAATTCCAACCCCTATCATAACACTATCGCCTCTTTGTTTTGTTGACTTCTTTTAGCCGCAGGCATGTCCGAATTGGATAAAATCTTTTCTTTGGCCTATCTATCAGGTTCATCAAATGTCACTTGAGATTCATCTGTGAAAATTACTTTAGAAAAGTCAATTTTCATGTATTTCTTGGCCCAGTTTTGATGCATTAAAATATTTCCTTTAGTGTAAGGAGGTTGCCTAGATTTTTTTTTTTTTTCAGATCCCAATTCACAAAGTATTCTACACCTTTTGTCCATCTTTACTCACTTAGTTCCAACCTTTTCAAAGATTTGAGCGCTTATATTTTCAACAGCCTTCTTTATCGTTCAACAGACCCCAGTACCTTTCTTGCATGGTAGTAA